TTCTGCTGCCCTGCTGTGTGTTCCGTGTTGTTTCTCTTGCCGGCACGTGGTGTGCATCTCAGCACACTCACATGCGTGAGACGCATGCACGTGTTTGCGTGCGCGCATGTGTTTGTGGATGAGTGTGTGCGCACTGGGGCCCTTTGGTGCAGCTCTTTCTTTTATTATTATTATTATTTGGGCTTTTTTGCTTTTTTTGTTGCTGCAGGGGGATGTGTGTGTGTGTGCGTGTGTGCTGCCCTCATTTGTATTTCATCTGCCTCGTGGGGTGTGCGTTGCTGGCGCTGGGCCGCTGCGATTTGTTTATTTGCGGTGTCTGTGCGTGTTGCTGCAGCTGTGCTTGTCTCTCCTCCACCGCCTCGTAGATCAGCTTTGCACAGCTAAGCGACTCTACTCACAATGACGACGATGAGGTGCGGTGTGGCGTGCGTCCTGTTGGCACTTGTGCTGTGCTGCGTGCACTTGTCGCTCTCTGAGGCAGCTGCGCCATCGTCTGCTCGTACTCGTGCTTCCGTGGCTGATGGTGCTCCTGTTGCGAATGCTACTCCTGCATTGGTGCCGGATAATATAAATGAAGTGCTGGAGACAGCCCTGAAAGCAAAGCTGAAGGCGCAGGCAGAGTTGACGGAGGCCAGAGGGTACTGCCTGGAAGCGAAGCAGAGCTCTGATAAGGCGTTGGAGGATGAGAAGAAGGCTGAGGAGATTTTGAAGAAGCTTGACGAGGGGGCCGTTGTGCTGAGCAGGTCGCTGCTGCATGCGAAGGAAGCTACCAAGGAGGCTGAGGGCGCTTTGAAGGAATGCTTGGAAGCGGAGAAGGCAGCAGAGGCAGCAGAGGGGGAGACGCACAAGGCCGTGCACGGGTTGCTGGAACTCACGATGGACAGGTGGAAGGAGCCAAAGGATGGTAATATGCTGAAGCAGGCGGCGAATCAGACTGCGCTCGCCGTGCAGAAGGCGGATGAGGCGGAGAGGTACTCTGATAAGGCGGCAGCCGCGGCGGAGAAAACTCATGCAGCAGCCGAGAGAGCCGCAACGGCGCAGAGCTTAGCGCACGATGTTGTCGTGACGGCAACGGCGCTGCTGCGTAAACGCGAAGCCGAGGAGAAGAGGCGACAGGCGAAGGAGCGAGCAGATGCTGAGGCTGCGAGACAAGCTGCTGTTGCTGAGGTGATGGAGAAGTTCTCTGTGAAGCAGGCGCCTAATGAAGCTTCCTCAGACAGTAACGCAGCAGGAGCTTCTGCGTCCGGGGCGGGAGAGGGGAAGTCCGGTACCACACACAGGAAGAATGCGGTGGGTGCGGCGGACGGCAGCGGCATTCCACTGTTGTCGCGTGCATCGCTTTTGCTGACTGCTGCTGTGGCATTCATTGGTTGCCTCTTCGTGTGTTAGGCGGCATCGCCCCGGCAATGCCGTGTGTAAGAGGCGTGCTGAGTTCCATTGGGATTTGAAAGTAATTTAATTTAATTTTCTTGCTTTCTGTGCTTGCTGTTTTGGGCGCTGCACCTCTTCGTGTGTGCGCATGCCCTCGCTGAGGGGACGCGGACGTCACGGGCCCCTCAATACATGTGGTGGATCCTGTGAATGTCGCCCGTGTTTTTTTTTCTTTCTGTGCTTGCTTTTTTAGGCTTTGTGTGCATGTTTTTTGTTTTGTTTCATTGGCCCCGCGTTTCTTTACGGGTGTGAGGCGCTATTTGAGTGGGGACGTTTCTTTTTTGAGTTATTACTGTACGAGACGACTGCTGACTCCTTCGTCCGTTTAGTGCACGACGGTGCGCATTTGGCTTAGTCTCTGCGAGGGTCTCTTATGTATTTATATACCATGCGACTCTGCACAAATATACGTAAAGAATGCGGCGGCCGTCCTTGCTTTTTGCGGCTGTTT